CTCTCTCTCTCTCTCTCTCTCTCTCTCTCTCTCTCTCTGCCTGTCTTTGTCTGTTGATTTTGTGTATGTCAGTCTCTGTTGTTTTCTTTAATAGCAATAAAGGAATGTAAAAATATGATGATGATGATGATGATGATGATGATGATGATGATGATGATGATGATGATGATGATGATGGCTTAAAAGAACACAGTGTTTTATTGTTTTATTTTGTATGCTTTTGAATATGTGCATATGTCATGTTTATGTCAAAATTGTTTATGTAAAATATTTGAAAAATGAACAATTATAAAAAAAGTTATAAATTTTGTTTTCATAACTACCATGCTTCCACTGTTTACAACATACAATCAAAATGAAGAGTTCCACTTTAAAAAACTCCAAAAAATAGCAAATGACTTCAATATATTTCATTTTGCCAATAAGCCATTGGTTATACTATATTTATTAACATGTTGGCATCTTCATCTTAGCTAGGATGTGTGTAGGTGTTCTTGTAGACTTTTTAGCATTAACAGAGTTGTATACGCCACATCACAGAGTTGGTTGGTTGGTTGTATAGAGTCGGTGTATTTGACTCCTTGTGATAACGAGGATCTGATGCCGACTTTATAGTGCTATCTCACTGAAATACCATACCGAAAGCACCCAGCACAGCACTCCGCCCGGTCACATTATACTGACAACGGGTGAACCAGTTGTTGCAGTTGCCCTATATGCTGAACGTTAAGCAGGGAATAACAACTACCAGTTTTAAGGACTTCGGTATGTTCCGGCCTGGGGATAGAACCCATTGCCTTCCTCACCTGGGCGAGCGTTCAACATTAAAGCCAAATATGAGCAGAGAGAAATAGAAAGCTCCCAAATATTGCAATGGGTCACAGAGTTGTCAACTCATTGCATTTGTCTAGTCATTAATATCGTTCATTACAGTTTGTCATTTTTGTATACGAAAGGACCTATTCGGGAGATTATAATGTTCTGTCAAGGACTTAGATAACAATAATCTAATTCCGTGGTTCTGGCTACTTTTTCAATTGTTAGGTAAGCCTACATATATGTAGTTACCACAAGAGTTCATCGTTCAGTTAGCAGGACAGAATCATCAAACGCGTGATATGTGTATGTAGATGCTCGACCGCTGAAACGACCGAGGGGACGTTTATACATTTGGGCAAGAAATAATTAGGAAATCTCCACTAAAACAAGCCCACCACCCAACCTTAATAGGAAGTGTTTTCAGCCAGAAAGCTTCAATTTTTAATTGTTCATCGGATATTGTTATAAGAAAAAAAATCATTTATCAGCTCTTTTTTTATAATCCGTTCTGCGTCCGAAGCTAGGACTTTATTTACAGCTATTTCACAAAACGCTGTGCCAACCTGTCACTTTTCTCAATATGACTGTACGAGTTATCTTTCGTGTAATGAACGTCACCTTTCTCGAATATGTCTGTACGAGTTATCTTTCTTTAAAAAGCACCACATGGAGACACTTTTTCTCTCCAAACATGTGTGTTAACCAGCGCTAACGTTTCCAAACTTAAATAAAAGAAAACTCGCTAAAGCCCTGACAAAATGTAAGACACAAGTTTACGCTGTATTAAGGGGGTGCCGTTTTGATATTGACAAATAATTAAATTCATTCTGATTGTGTGATATCACGGAATTAGTTATCAAAGTCCGTGGTGATATCAACAATTTGAATATGTGATACCACGAAACACCATTTAAATTTAATCTTTAAACGTGTCCGTTTTGTAATTAAAATAGCATGTTACCTACATGGTCGACCTGTTCAAATATTTCATAGTTAAAATATAACGGACATCACGATATTTAGCAAACTTTCATGTTCTGTATAACTTATCATCAATTATGTGTTTTTGAGTCCCGTGGTTGTAGCGCTAGGACCACACGTCCGCGTATTAAAACCAGTGAAAAATAACTTGAAATCACAATATAATATTATGTTTGGGCAGTATACTATATCTTCTGTCTATATGCAATCAAACTGAAAAATTAAAAAGGGAGAAGAGAGAGAGAGAGAGAGATAAATAGAAACGCCAAACAGAAATGGCAAAGTTTTTGTATATGAGGCTATAATGCTGAAATAACTGTATCTATGACATTGCTGAAAAGATCATGAACAAATAGGAAAGATACGCACTATACGGGTTTTATACTTACAGTACATGATTACTGCACACTTAAATTGATAATCGTAATTATATGACCAGAGACGTATATGACGTATATACCAGGGTACTGAGTCCATCGACATTGTAATTGCAAATGGTACGATTAAAGTATATGTTCGTACTTAAACCCTAATTTGAATATAAACTACTATAATTTTAACCAGTATAAAAGCAAGTCAATTAATATTCACTCTACACTGCACTGTACGAGTCATGCACATTTGATGTGATTAATCCTAAAACGATCTTCAAAACTTTCGGATTTATACACTTTATACTGTGTTATAGTTGCATTAGTTATACACTGGTTTAGATAGCATCTAATTCTGTGGTATGCACAACTTCACTAGCATGACTATTACATGAGTGTCTTACCCGATGAGTTAGTCCGAATTATTCTGACGTTTAATCGACGACAGACCGATATGAAAAAAGTCGATAAAACGTCAGAATACTTATATACTGCGTCTCACATTTCGGGCACCTGTTCCTTTTATGTCCATAAATTTGCATGTGAACAGGCACTTTCAATGTTTTCAATCGTCATTAGCCGTCGATCAACTCGTATCTAAATTATTTGTTATAAAAGATGTATGGAAGATACTCAGAAGAGTCAACAAACCAGCTGTCATTTTGAGAAAAAAACACGTGCTGGGTTTGTGTACATTGCCAGAGCAACTGACAACTTCCGCACTACATACTCTATGACCTTTTCGTACAACAGTATTACTGCGCTATATTCATTTACATGATAAGAAGATCGAAATACAAAACTAATATCCCCACTAGTAGGTATAATCTACAATGGCAACTGTTAGGTCTGATGAAATGGATATGTGATAATTAGAATGAGATAAATGATGTATTAACATGAGAACTATATTTGATAGCGCCTTCCTACAAGTACGACTGTAAATTGGTCGGGGTTATTTCTCAACTTGTGTCGGTCGGAGCAATGGTGAAATGAGAATAAATGCACAGGTAAAGTCACGTTTAAGATATCAAAATATACTATAAATAATATTTGTAATATATACGTAATATCTTTGTAACTTAATTTGGTTTTCCGTTCCCAGTTGCTTCGGTCCAAGGCCAAGGGGCCGCTCCAGGCGACCGAATACTTGGACCTGTCGAACTTGGAAATAGGTAAGTTGTGCATGTTGTGCATGCTGTGAACGTATCAATATTTGATTGATTGATAGATTTTACGTCCGCTTCACTACCGAGTTCGGTTATCCAGCAGACGAAGAACAGAAAGGAAAATGAGTAGAAGGGATAAAGTATGGAATAAAAGAGTAGAGGAGGGGAATAGTATCTATAGGATCTTACAGTAGATGTAGGCCTTAATAACGACACGAGCGGTACTGTAATATTCAAGAATGTTTGAAAAGTCCCAATTTCTATGACTGTAATTTGGACAAATAAATTAGAACTAAATTCAGAGCTAGTGTTCTGGTCTGCACAACACCAGGGTCAGGAAACACGTTCCAGGAGAGCCAGAGTTTCATCTGGCACAAACAGGAATTGACAGATAATATATGTCTATACAGATATCAAAACTCTGGTGTTCAGGCCAGGGGAACCCCAGGCTAGTACAAAGACTACATGATAGAGCAAAAAGGAGAGCAAATAAATGCCAACCTGATAAAATACCAGCATGCAGCTTCCTACCATCCATCTTCGAAGGCAATTTATCCGAAGCTCAATATTGGTAGAGCAGCAGATTTTTAAGCTAAAGGTCCTGGTTTCAATCATTAATGGTGACATTGAAAAACAATGACATCTGTTGCTCCAATTATTAATTAGCTGTCTTCGTCTGAGTATAGTAGATTGGCAATTCTCTGTGAGACTAGTATATATATGTCTTACATACAAGAATATTACCTGACTGGTATCAAGGAATTAGATAAGATTGCTATCCAAGTCTGTGCTGGTACCATCTCCTTGGACATGCAGCCAGAAACTGAACACACACTACTTTCTCAAGATAGTGCTATGACAGCTGTCAGATTATTACCGATATGAGTGTTTACAAGGAGAAGTAATTAAATATATCGTGTCAGGCATGCATATCCAAATCCCAAACCTGGTCGAAATGAAGTGAGAGTAAATGATGTGTTGCAAGATCAAACCTGATAATAGGTGACTGAAACTTGTTATTATGCCTGAAGTTATGAGAGATTGTTCAAATTTTCTTTATTTGTCTCTTTATTTAACTTAAGCATCTTCCATACTGACGTTATATTAAATGTTATATGTAGCCGGCCTGGGGGAAAATGTAAACTTTCCAGCCTCCCATGTGTTTCAACGTCAGTGTTTATAAATATTCTTCTCAATATTTTATGTCTGTGTTGCATGCACTTTAATTGCAATATTCTAGATAAAACGTCTTTCCCATTTCTTGATTAGTTAATGCAGAGGATTTCTTGGTTTTGAAAATATGACTGTTTTTGTTGTGTTGCAGTTGCGATAGAAAAGTTCAGCACCTGTCCTAAGTTACACAGCCTGATATTGCGAGGCAATGACATATTTGAGGTCGCCAATCTAGAACACTGTACACAGCTCTGGAGACTTGACCTGGGAAACAACTGTGTAAGTTACATTAATATGTTGTATACCTTCATGTATATCTGAGTGAAATGTTCAAACTCAAGCTTACACAGATCATTATTGTTCATGTCTCTGACCCCTCAGCCTGAGGCTGATATGGAGGTCTCTGGCTGATAAAGCTAACAGGGTAGGATATGGAAATGGTAATATGACAACCTCTAAATACAGTCAGACAACATGGTTTGTGCTTATGATTAACACTCTTAGGCCAAGCAAATAATATCTTGTTTACCCTCAGTTTTACTTTAAGTGCCAACTCAAACCTTTTTAGTAAGTTTTCAAAGAAGCACTGTTTACCTGGAGATCACTCTCCTTTATAAACCAAATAAAATTAGAAGAAAAAAACCTTTTTACTTACTTACTAAAAATGTTACAGGAAACAATATTTTTGTTTGGCCTTGGGACTGTGTAAAAGTTATAGAGGTTGACATATAACATACATTATGAGGACATTAAGGAAGGGTCTGTACAATATGATGCCTTCTGAACCTTCTCTTGATTACATTTGTTACCTGTGAAACTATGGTCAGTAATGGGTACACAGTATAAATCCCCCTTCTAACAGCCCTGTTCTACTTACATACGAGTAGGAGGTTGTGGTTTCCTGCATAACTTTCTTACTGCTCTACCATACAGCAGCATGTATTAGGGATTGAGATATCCTATACCCCTTCTTACAACTCTGTCCTACATACACAAGTATGGGAGACTAAGATATCCTACACCCCCTTCTTACATCTCTGTCTACATATAGAGGTATGGGAGACTGAGATATCCTACACCCCTTCTTACAACTCTGTCTACATATAGAGGTATGGGAGGTTGAGATATCCTACACCCCCTTCTTACATCTCTGTCTACATACACAAGTATGGGAGACTAAGATATCCTACACCCCTTCTAACAGATCTGTCCTACATACACCGGTATGGGAGACTGAGATATCCTATACCCCCTTCTTACAGCTCTGTCCTACATACACAGGTATGGGAAATTGAAATATCCTACATTCGCTTCTGACAACTCTGTCCTACCTACACAGGTATGGTAGACTTGAGATATCCTATACCCCTTCTTACAGATCTGTCTTACATACATGGGTATGGGAAACTGAGATATCCTATACCCCTTCTTACAGCTCTGTCCTACATACACAGGTATGGGAGTTTGAGATATCCTACACCCCTTCTTACAGCTCTGTCCTACATACACGGGTATGGGAGTTTGAGATATCCTACACCCCCCTTCTTACATCTCTGTCTACATATAGAGGTATGGGAGACTGAGATATCCTACACCCCTTCTTACAGATCTGTCCTACATACACGGGTATGGGAGGTTGAGATATCCTACACCCCCTTCTTACATCTCTGTCTACATACACAAGTATGGGAGACTAAGATATCCTACACCCCTTCTTACAGATCTGTCCTACATACACGGGTATGGGAGTTTGAGATATCCTACACCCCCTTCTTACATCTCTGTCTACATAAAGAGGTATGGGGGACTGTCTACATATAGAGGTATGGGGGACTGAGATATCCTACACCCCCTTCTTACATCTCTGTCTACATATAGAGGTATGGGGGACTGAGATATCCTACACCTTACATCTCTGTCTACATACACAAGTATGGGAGACTAAGATATCCTACACCCCCTTCTTACAGATCTGTCCTACATACACTGGTATTCTGTCCTACATACACAAGTATGGGAGACTAAGATATCCTCCACCCCTTCTTACAGATCTGTCCTACATACACTGGTATGGGAGGTTGAGATATTCTACACCCCCTTCTTTCATCTATGTCTACATATAGAGGTATGGGAGACTGAGATATCCTACACCGCTTCTTACATCTCTGTCCTACATACACAAGTATGGGAGACTAAGATATCCTCCACCCCTTCTTACAGATCTGTCCTACATACACGGGTATGGGAGTTTGAGATATCCTACACCCCCTTCTTACATCTGGGGGACTGTCTACATATAGAGGTATGGGGGACTGAGATATCCCACACCCCCTTCTTACATCTCTGTCCTACATACATAAGTATGGGAGACTAAGATATCCTACACCCCTTCTAACAGATCTGTCCTACATACACCGGTATGGGGGACTGAGGTATCCTACACCCCCTTCTTACATCTCTGTCTACATACACAAGTATGGGAGACTAAGATATCCTCCACCCCTTCTTACAGATCTGTCCTACATACACTGGTATGGGAGGTTGAGATATTCTACACCCCCTTCTTTCATCTATGTCTACATATAGAGGTATGGGAGCATATAGAGGTATGGGGGACTGAGATATCCTACAACCCCTTCTTACAGATCTGTCTACATATAGAGGTATGGGAGACTGAGATATCCTACACCCCCTCTTACATCTCTGTCTACATATAGAGGTATGGGAGACTGAGATATCCTACACCCCTTCTTACAGATCTGTCCTACATACACTGGTATGGGAGGTTGAGATATCCTACACCCCCTTCTTACATCTGTGTCTACATATAGAGGTATGGGAGACTGAGATATCCTACACCCCTTCTTACATCTCTGTCTACATATAGAGGGATGGGGGACTGAGATATCCTACACCCCCTTCTTACAGATCTGTCCTACATACACGGGTATGGGAGGTTGAGATATCCTACACCCCCTTCTTACATCTGTGTCTACATATAGAGGTATGGGAGACTGAGATATCCTACACCCCTTCTTACAACTCTGTCTACATATAGAGGTATGGGGGACTGAGATATCCTACACCTTACATCTCTGTCTACATACACAAGTATGGGAGACTAAGATATCCTACACCCCTTCTAACAGATCTGTCCTACATACACCGGTATGGGGGACTGAGATATCCTACACCCCCTTCTTACAGATCTGTCCTACATACACTGGTATTCTGTCCTACATACACAAGTATGGGAGACTAAGATATCCTACACACCTTCTTACAGATCTGTCCTACATACACGGGTATGGGAGTTTGAGATATCCTACCCCCCCTTCTTACATCTCTGTCTACATATAGAGGTATGGGAGACTGAGATATCCTACACCCCTTCTTACATCTCTGTCTACATATAGAGGTATGGGAGACTGAGATATCCTACACCCCTTCTTACAACTCTGTCTACATATAGAGGTATGGGAGGTTGAGATATCCTACACCCCCTTCTTACATCTCTGTCTACATATAGAGGTATGGGGGACTGAGATATCCTACAACCCCTTCTTACAGATCTGTCTACATATAGAGGTATGGGAGACTGAGATATCCTACACCCCTTCTCACAGATCTGTCCTACATACACAAGTATGGGAGACTAAGATATCCTACACCCCTTCTTACAGATCTGTCCTACATACACGGGTATGGGAGTTTGAGATATCCTACACCCCCTTCTTACATCTCTGTCTACATAAAGAGGTATGGGGGACTGTCTACATATAGAGGTATGGGGGACTGAGATATCCTACACCCCCTTCTTACATCTCTGTCCTACATACACAAGTATGGGAGACTAAGATATCCTACACCCCTTCTAACAGATCTGTCCTACATACACCGGTATGGGGGACTGAGATATCCTACACCCCCTTCTTACATCTCTGTCTACATATAGAGGTATGGGGGACTGAGATATCCTACACCCCCTTCTTACATCTCTGTC